TATATATATATATATATATATATATATATATATATATATATATATATATATATATATATATGAGATTGATTGATGGAAGACTCTTTTGCATTAATTATTCGTGCATATAGATAGTTATTCGTGCCTTTAGAATTACCTAACTTCACGGACTATTAATGATTTATAGATAGGATGAATGATGACATTCTTCAAGTCAATAAGCATGATTTGGACGGTAGCTAATATTTTCTAAATACAAAATTAATAGTTACTTTACAAGTGTGAACATGAGAAGTAAAACCATGGAAAATTTATGTTCAAATATGAAATAAGAAAATTTTCCTAGAATACGTGTTTGAGTGACAACTTTTGTTTACAGTTAAAAAAAGACTTTGGCTATGTTTGGCGCCTCACAGCTAGCTGATAAGCTAGTTTATTTTTCAAGCTTTTTATATTGTCGTGTTTGGTAAGCCAAAAAGTAGCTTATAAGCTAGCTTTTTGGAAAGCTACTTACACTAGCTTTTTAGGAGCTTTTTTGAAAATTTCCAAATACACTCATTAATTAATTATAGAAACACATACTCTTACATGTCCTTTTATGTAATTTTATATATTTCAGCTAGCTTTTCAGCTAGTTTTACCAAACGTCATTTTTTACCAGCTAGCTTTTCAGCTATCAACTAGCTTTTTATTTAACAGCTAGCTTTTCAGCTATCAGTTAGTACGCCAAACATAGCCTTTATGAAGTAGTCTTGAGTTTGACTCGAAGAAAACTTTATCATTAATTATCACAAGTTATGCTTTTTGAGTAAGCAGGCTCAATAAAGTTTGATCTATCTTTTTAGTGAGTTACAATTTACGTAGAACTTCAAAAGCTTGTTAACAAGTCGAATCAAGTCATTGAAACCTTACAATCAACTTGTTATATGTTTTGAGTTTTTTGTTGTGCTCGAAGTTGATAAATTTTGAGCTCAAAGTCTCAAACAACTCAATAAAAAGCCAAACTTGTATAAAAGGCAACCTTTGCAGTTGTGTGCGACCTTGTTTTTATAGTGCGGCTCAAAAAAAGTTGGATCTACCCTAGTACTTTTTTGTCTAAGGATTTACATTCATTGTCCAAGTGTTTTCTTCAAAGTTATGGATATTGTCTCGAATGGTTTTTTTCACTCGGATTTGCGTCTAGTCTTTGGTGTTAATATTGTTTCTATTTGGCCGTTAAAGTCATGTAATATTAATATTTTATGTATATATACATATATTTATTATGTTGATTTAATTGCCCAACTAATCATTAACTTCAAGTAAAAAAATTCCATGAAATTATGAAGAATGTTAATACTTATGTGATGGAAAAGGTTTTGTTTTTGTTAGGATTTAAGCATTTTATTAAACGATAGACGATTTCATACAAAGTAATAAACTCAACTAACACTATTTTATATGCTCCATGTCCTTAATGTCGTGGAGAATTCTTACTCATAACTCATTCTTAAGTTCAATAATGAAATACTTATATCTTCTTATATTTGTTAGTTTTATGGAAACTGATTAAACTTCGGTTTAAAATACTATGATTTTGCTATGTTTATTGCTATAGAGTTTATCGTCGTTTTAAAAATACTTTAGTTTATATAATTTAATTCTATACACGTTAGGGTCTAAGAGACTTTTTTTTTCTGGATCGCGTGGAACATTTGAATCCGTATGAGTAACCCCGGTCGAGATTGATACAAATGTTACAATCTAATTTTTAGAATTTGATGATGACAAACTTTGTAATAATCCGACCTTGTAAATTCTAACAAATCTATAAGTTCGAACAACAACGTATCTCAACCTAAATAGCTGATTTAGAGTGTGCCTTAACTTTATATTAAGTAATTTATGATATACATTAATGTTTGATAGAAAGCTATAAATTAATTTGTTTCGTTATATAATATTTAAGTAGGAAAAGCAAGGTTTTGAGTTCGGTAGACCCTAGCTTCCTAATGAATGACATAAGTACTCTACAAGAGATGAAATCCACCAAAATGATGATATCGAAATCGTGAATAATGACATGAAAAATGAAATGAAATTGTATAAGTCAAAGATACAAGTTGAAGTTTCAATCATTAGACTTGAATTGGAAAAATAAATAAGCCAAACATATATATTGTAAGTTATATATCCTTCCAACACTTTGAACTTTCTCAAACAAACACCCTTATTATTTTTTGTTTTGCGGCAAGTCATTGTAGGAAGGTGTAGTAGAAATATATGAAAGAACATTAAACAAATAGAAAGAAGTTGAGACATGATGTGTTGCACATAGGGTCTTAAAACAATATTGTCCCATTATCAAACGTTTGTTTCTTAGATACAACAACTACAATAATCCTTATAGAATGCTTGAACCAGACCATGCATAAACTTTACCTTAGCAACAAGAAGGAAATACAGTAGCATATGGAGAAGAAAAGAGAGTCAAATCGTTTTTTGATGAGTAAAAGTAGTTACAGGGAAGTTGTATTTATATAATAAAATTTGTAACTAAGTCTTATTGAATCAAATGTAACTGATCAAAATCGAACAAAATATTGAAACAAAAATTTGTATTTATTTCCATTTTTAAAACAAAAAATGTTTTCAAATTTTCATAAAAAATACTTGAACTTTTTTTGTTAAGCACGTACAAAAGAGAGTTTGGTGTTGTTTGCTCTTGTAATCCTTAGAAATCTTTATACATATAAATACATTTTCTTTTCACTCCGACAAATACGAGACAAATTTAAAACCATTTAATCACTTAAACATCTTTTTCAATCACCACTCATATCATCTGAACGTTGTTTTGAACGTTCTATATACCAAAAAGAAGATGATACAAATGAGAACATAAATACATAACTATTTAGCTATTTTTAGATTATACAAGGTCCATAGTTTATGTTCAACATGGACAAAACTTTTTTTTTCCAAGGGTAAACCTATTTTTACCAACTATTGTTTGTATTTATTTTATTATGAATCAATGTACGTTTTTAATATTTTTAGTCCACAATCCATGCAAATGCCTCTGTAGATGTGAAGTTAGCAAACTTTTCTTCCTCTCGGAAGTAATGTTTACAATTTGAATAGAGTTTAGAGTTAGCAAAAACGGACCATGATTTATTAGCATGTTAAAACTTAAAACATATGAGGCTAGATTAGGTGGATATGTGAACGTTATTTTGTTATTGTTTTGTATTTTATTTTACATCTAATCTACACATGTATTTATGTTTTAACTAAAAATGTTAGTTACATCCACTTGACTCTTAAATAGGAAAGATTCCACCATTATATATATTAAATACAAAAATAGGTGTGTGACGAGAAGTTACTATTCATTTCAAATGAATTCAGCCGTTTGATTTGGGAAAATGGTACGTGTAAGTAAATCAACCGTTCTTTCGTAAGCAAATCAGCCGTTCTTTTGCTTCTCTTTTCATTTATATTTTTCATTTTTCACCCCTAAACTTTATTTTGTTTTACATTCTTTCCCAAACTAATTTTAAGGCGGCCGAGAGTGTAGTGGTAGGTAACCAGCGGTTCTTTTACTTCAATTTTTCTATTTCACTTTCATTTGTTTTTCCATTTTCAGTCCCTGCGTTTCATTTGTTTTTACATTCTTTACCATAAACTAATATCTAACCGGTTTCATTTGTTTTTACATTTTTTACCACAAACTAATTTTGATCTAACCGTTATCATTTTAAAGTTAAATTGTTGGTATTTTGTATGTTATAAATTTGGTCCCTTAGTATATTTTTAACTTACACTTTTGGTCTCATATATAATTTGTTTTTGTAGTTTTCGTTTTTATAAATATTACTTTTTATCATTATCATTTCTTAAATAATTTTCATTTATGTAATGTGCGAATTAAGATACAATGTCAATTTATTTTTACATGCATCCTCCATAAATAATTGTTTCGGTCAAAATTTTATTTTATACTTTTGTGGTTTACTTTGCAAATGTATTCTCCGCCGCAACGCGCGGGGGTGACAAAATACTAGTTCCAGTTAACTTTCAAACACGCAGGTGTGTTACCGATTCTCACTTCTAGTCAAATCTATATGTTGAAATGCGTTGAATAAATTCTACATATGTATTTATGTCTACCAATGACTTCCAGCCTAGCTGGGAAGAGGTACCGGGTTTAATACCGACGTGGGGTCAGAGGGCGGGAGTTCAATCCCTGCAAAACCCAATTTGGGTGCCTCTTAAACTTGTGCCACATGTGGGGAAATTTTCCCTGGAAACCCCTATGGGGGCTGGGTTTGCCCTGTAAAGGAGCTCGAACCCGGGATGCTCGTTGAAATATGCTAGGCTTCCGTTTAATGCCGTTTCCAAAAAATGTATTTATGTCTATGTATATATACAGAGATAGATACACTCCTCAGCATTCGTGCTTTCTTCTTTTATTGCATGAGCTTACAAGAGACAAAAATGGCAGTGATGAATCTCGCTTTCTTCTTCTTCTTCTTCACTCTTTTTACTCTTCTTGGAGCTTACCATGCTCGTCATTTACATGGTATTCAATTAATTGACCCACTTTTCGAATTCATAGCTTCATTACTTAATTACCCTCTATAGCTAGCTAGTTTGTGTATTAATTGTCGGTGGTTTTGTTAATTTGTTCTCAGATGGATGTGTATACCATAGCTTTAATGGACGACCACCTGCTAAGACGTCGGAGATAATTCAGATGGTAACCGGTGAAGAAGAACCCCAGTCACCACCACCTCCTCCACTTTCATCGTTACAGGAACAGACCACTTACAGCCGAGATAACCCAAATGCACCACCGTCGCAAGGCCAGACTGTTTATGGACGAGACAGTCTGGAAGGACGCCCTTCACCTAAAATACCACCGTCTGATGGCCAAACGATTTACGGTGGAGATAACCCAGAAGCAAGATTACCGTCGGAAGGCCAGACTGTATACGGCGGAGACAAACTGGAAGGATCACCTTCACCTACAGGACCATCGCCTGAAGGCCAGACAAATCATGGTAGAGATAACCCAAAAGCACCACCGCCACCAAAAGTAGCACCATCTCGGGGTCAATCGACTTACGGCGGAGAGAATCCAAACTCAAACAGTCCGACCATATATGGTGGAGCCGGAGTAGCCAAGAAGAGGCTAGCAGGTATATAGTACGTATACAATCTTTTACGTTTATATCAAATTATAAGTTTAAATTTTTCGACCAACAATAAAAAACCTAATGAATTTGTAAACTTTATCATTTCCACAGATTTTCTAGCTCAAATAATTCCGTCATACGATGAGATTGTATACGGCCGGGATTATTTAAACGCTCGGCCATCACCTAAAGGAGGACCGAGTGAGGGTGACGCGGTTTACAGTAGAGATAACCCGAAAGCCCCACCACCACCGGTAGCGCCGTGTCGGGGAGCTCCGCCGTCATTAAAACCAGATAGTGCAAAGGAGTACTGGTCAACATACGGTCGTGATGACCCAACAGCACCACCGATTCCGGACCCAAATGATCCAGAAAACCAAGGAATGTATGGTAGAGTTGCCCCGAGTGTACCAACCCCTCCACAACCAGCTGACCCAACACGGCCGATGTTAGTCGATGGCGGGAGGCGGGAGGAATGAAAATTCGCTTCGAGCTCCGGCGTTTAGTTGTGACATTCAAATAAAACAGGATGATCAGTTGTGACATTCAAATAAAACACGACAATGCATATATA